AGTAGGTCACTGGCACCGCCCTGTAAGGAGCACCCTGACTCTCACATTGTTTGACTTAATAACTACTTGAGTGGAATGGAAAGCAGGAGAACAAACAAATGTCAAGAAAAACATAATGTCAACAGCCTCATTAGCTCACTTTGCTAGAATTCAGTGTTAGTGACCCGTAGAGCACAGGGTCAGACATGTGACTGTTTCCTGGACTACTTGGCTATGAAATACCGTCCCTATGACTCTGCCTAGCCGTCTCACAAACCCCGATTTTTGGTCATGGAAGAAACAGCATGGATGAATCAGTAAAATAAATCCCCACTGGAAAGAATATGGTAGAGATCTGCATTATCCAGCTCAGTATCAGGTATTTTACTAAAAACTGTCCTTCAGATGAAAGAAACAGAATACAAAATACAGTACTTGCCCACCTTATGCCCATGTCCGTGGCATGTGAATGCACAGAGCCAAGAGACTTTCATGGTCGTGGATGCCACGGCAGTTCTGCTCCCCCCAATTGAGTTAGAGGTTTACTAAGAACCAGCTGTGATTATTCATAAGCTTGCTGATGACAGCTTTCCTTTATATATTACATAAAATGGTGATGGCAAAGTATAAGCACAAAGAAAAAAAGGAATGATTCACTTCCATTAAATTAAGTTGTAACTCAATAAACACAATTCCAAAAAAAAGATGTCAACTTGGTTGTGGATGAAACAACCATAAAGTATTGGTTGGGAACAGCAGCTGGAGAGAAGGACTCTATGCTCAAATTTCATAGCAAGTGTTTTTAAATCGGCCTTCTACTTCAAAGACACCCACACTGGAACTCAAAGAGGATGCATTATGCTGTGGTTTCAGAAAAAGACAAAACGAGCAGTGTGCTGGAGCCAGCTTGTACTAGCTCACGGGAGCCAATTATCAAGTTTCTGGGAATTTGTTGAGCTGTTGTTGAACAACTGCGGGGTTAATAATTAAATGATACAAACTTAGAATTAAGTTGTATTTTAAAACAAACTTATTAAATCCTGAAGACTCATCAGTTTGTAAATATTTTACATTTTACAATTATTGATACTCTTAAGGTTATTTATATTCATTCTCTCGCTAGTGGAAATACAGTGTAATGGTGCTGTTCCATGTCTTCCCAATTCCACATTCAGTGTCAAGTCATAACTTAAAAGTGGCCGCAGTGGGAGTATTTACGCCATGGAATCGTCAAACGCCATAATCAGGGCTATTTTTTTCCACAAAGTTCGTTGTTAAACATTTATCATCTTACCACTAAACAAAAGCAATATTGAGTAAATGACACCACATTCAAAGAAAAATCCTTCACCATACAGCAAAATTCTGGCAAATGAACACACATGTATTTATAAGTTTTAGCTTAAAATGAAATGCTACTATATACATATATGTATGTGTGTGTACACACACACACACACACACACACACACACACACACATATATGCATATAAACATATACACATGGGGGCTCACTTGTCCCTTCCTGGCGTGAGCCAGGAGGTCTTTCCTCTCACTTTATTTCGAAATAAAAGCCTGTACCTTGTTCTCCTAAAAAAATTTTAAAAAATAAAAAAACATATATACATGTATGTTTACATATATATTTTATTATCATCTAATTTTTTCAATCTACAACTATTGGTCCTGAGTCACGTTAGGCCTTCTACCACTGACTAAAAAAGTAGGACACATTTTTATAACTTTCTAGAAAGTAGTTTGGCAACATTTACTGAAAGATTTGAAAACTCATACCTCTTCACCTGGAAACTTCACTTCTATTACTTTATCTTAAGAAAACGATAAATGACACAGTCAAATATGTACCAAAATGTTCGCGTATTGTTTAAAATAACAGTATACACATACATACATAAACAACCTGAATGGGCAACAGTAGGGAAATGATTAGATACATCATAATACATCTATCTAACACATGATATAACAAGTAAAATCACATTATCAAGGAATATTTAATGAGTAGGAAGAAATTCACCAAATATTAATAGTTGTTATCACTAAGAGGGGTGAGACTTAAATTGATTCAATGTTTTATACAAGTAATGCATGTGCATTATTAAAATGTTAGAAAATAGAGACAAATAAAAATAAGACAATGATCATCCGTAATTCCACAAAACAAAAATAACTATTTTAAATACTTTGCTGTTTTCCCTTGCAGGTTTGTTTTACCTGATATGCACATACACACACACCTTTCTAACCCAAAATGGCATTATAGGAAGCATGTTATTTGGTAACTATTTTCTTATAGTAAAGCTTAAGATATTTCTGGATAATTTTTACCTTACTTTCCTATTTGTAATTTCCTGTATTTTCCAATTAAAAAAAAAATTAGCATAAAGCAGTTTATCTCCAAAGTCGATCCCAATGAACTATACCTGTGCTTCTATCTTGGCTTCCTCCGTTACTCTCTTGAACTGAAGAATGACGCAGTAGTGACAATGCGTGAGTTACAAAACCTAAGACTTAAGAAGGCCTAGAAGTGTCCACTTCTGTGATTTGGGGAGCCCTGAGCCACCATTTAATAAGTCTGGCTATCCTCATGGAGACGCTAAGTGGAGAGAGAATATGGCAGAAGAGAAACCCCAGATTACAAGGAGAATCCTAGCTGAGCCCAGTGTCGTAGCTGAGCACAGCCTTCCAGCTGGGCCCTCCAAGGCATATGAGTGAAGCCATCGTAGATTCCCCAACACAGTCAAGCTCTGAGATGACTACAGCCCCAGTATATAGAACAGAAGGACCATTCATGTGAGGTCAAGTCATTCACAAAAAGATGATAAAAAATAAAGTACCATTGTTGAAAACACTAAATTTTGGCAGTTTGTGAAGCAGTTTATTTATGAGGTTTTTTTTATAAGCAGGCTATTTAGTGAATAACCAAACAGAACATGTATTATTCATATAATATGAAAACAACATTATTTTTAAAGGCATTATAACACACTTGTACCTGCACTTTTGCATACACACACACACACACACACACACACACACACACACACACACACCCTATTTCCTGCTGGAATGCCCAGTGGCTGTGTCCAATACGTACTCTATTTATCCTGTATGATAGGCACCTAATTTTAGTTCAGATTCAATCTGTGTAGAGGAAAGATCAATTGCTGACACTGTAAAGCATTTATTGAATGTCAATCTAAAATTTACCCAGACTGATGCAGATATTTCTTTTCACATCAGGGAACTGAGTCCAACAAAGAGTAAGTGACTGATCCAAGGTTACCAAACTCACATGAATAGTTAGTAGCTGAGTGAGCACTGGTTTCCAGGCCAATGCCCTTTTCTCTATACTGCACTGTCTCTTTTAAAAATGTACCATCTTGAAAATAGAAATACCATTTGACCCAGGAATTCTGCTTCTAGGAATTTACCCTAAGAATACAGCAGCCCGGTCTGAAAAAGACAGATGCATCCCTATGTTTATCGCAGCACTATTTACAATAGCCAAGAAATGGAAGCAACCTAAGTGTCCATCAGTGGATGAATGGATAAAGATGATGTGGTACACATACACAATGGAATACTATTCAGCCATAAGAAAGAAACAAATCGTACATTTGCAACAACATGGATGGAGTTGGAGGATATTATGCTCAGTGAGATAAGCCAGGCGGAGAACGGCAATTACCAAATGAGTTTCCTCATTTGTGGAGTATAACAACGAAGCAAAACTGAAAGAACAAAACAGCAACAGACTCACAGACTCCAAGAAGGGACTAGCAATTTTTAAAGGGGCTGGGGAGGGAAGGAGAAGGGGACTGAGGAGCATTATGATTGGCACACATGGTGTGCGGGGGGGTCACAGTGAACACAGTGTAGCACAGAGAAGACAAGTAGTGACTCTGGCATTTTACTACGCTGATGGACAGTGACTCTAGTGGGGTTTGTGGGGGGGACTTGGTGAAGGGGGGAGTCTAGTAAACATAATGTTCCTCATGTAACTGTAGATTAATGATACCAAAAAAAAAAAATGTACCATCTTGTTTCAGACTACAGAGGAATTGAAAATACTTATCTACGAGAAGATAGATGCAGTTCCTGTGACTACAAACGAGGAGAATCATACATCTTACAGGATAGCTCAGTCTTCAGGCATTTCTAGTCTGACAGATTTGGGAAGGCCAGAGAAGCTCAGATATGTTGTAAGACTCTATGGATAAGCACTGAAACTATTGTTGCTTGGAGTGGAGGTCACATGACCCAGAATCTACCTGCTTATCCACCCAGCACTAGTCATTTAAATTTAGGAGCCAACCATTTCCGTGGGAACACAGGTGGAGGGGGCACGAGGAAAGCCGAACACTGAGAGGGGCAGAAGAAGAGAGAGGTAGGAGAAAAATGGAAAAATAAGAAAATTGAAAAAAAAGAAATACACACATATATAAAATGAACTATCCCTACTTCTTTCTGTCCTGTGAACCAGGAAGCACCAAAGAAATACTTCTAAGGCAAGGGAGTCTGATTCACTGGCAGACTATAACCCATGAGCCGTGACATTCAAAGACGGCTCTTGCATCTCACAGCCTCTTCATACTGACCCTGCAGTAAGGCACTATAGAGGAGGAAGGTCCGTGATTCCGACTTTCCCTCTGCTTTTCTTCCCACGGGCAGTATCTAATGTTAATGTGTTAAATAAGCAACATACCCTTTACAGGACACAACTAGGGGAGAAAGCCATTCCAATTTTATCAGTTCTTCTGTACCGAGAAATCTAGTAATTTCATATGTAGGTCTAGGACGGTCAAAAGATGCACCGGTTGGTGAGAATTTGTTCCCTCGGTCCTCGAAATGAGATTGTCGCCACAAGCACCAATATACAAGGCCATGAAGGGGCTAAGGATATCAGCTTCTTCAAAGGCAGAGCATTTACAAAATGTGTAGAACTGAAAAGAGCTCTCTGGCTCCTTCATGAAAGCTGTCGAAGGTGAATACCAACCTGGATACACACGTGCACGCCTCACTGATGCCAAGGTACTGCCTCCACCATGGGTAGCTGTCCTTGCTGCAGTAAGTGCCCGGTGCCAATAATATAGAGCCTGCACTGTATCCACAATATGCTAGGAAAAATAGTACATTCTTTAGGATAGCGAAACCAAAGTTATTTGCCTTAATCTTCTCAGTATAATGAGTCCATTAAGTTACTTCACACTACCAAATAAAATCATGTAACACAAATGCCATACCCTTATTAGACTGCTACAGGGGAAATTCTAAGCTTCCTTTAGTAGAGTTCTAATAATCAAGTGGCAGGTGCGATGTGTAGTTTTCCCACCTTTCCTGACCTTTCCGCGTGGGCTGAATGCAGTGGGAGCTCCGGTACAAGGTCCCTTAGATGGTACTTAACTGACCACCATTTGTCTGGTACCCAGTGTTTTTCAGGCCGGTCACAGCAAAACTCTTCCTAATCTCACCTGCTCACGCACGGTTCCTGTTGGAGGAGAGTTGCACCTAACCTAAGAGCTCCCAGTTTTGGAGCACAGTGAGTGGTTTATTATACAATAACTCCATTGAACTCAGTGGCATCTTCTAGTTTTCAAACAGGGAGGAAAAACAATTGCTTTAATGGGTGCTGCCCGCCCCCCCTTCAGAAAAGGACTCTGTGCATTATCTTTACATGTTGTTTACTTCAGTGGAGATCCTTGAGCTTCTTACTTTTTCCCTTAAAAAACAGCCTTCGGAAAATCTTCAGAAAAATCCGTAGACAGTTTGCATGTGCCAAATCCTCTCTTACACACATAGATGGGCACACGAAAAATAGAATTCTCTTCAAGAAAGAAGGTACTTCCTGCAAACAATATGTATTCAAGGCTCAAAATCCGCTGCATGAATGTACTTTAGTAAGAATACAAAATACTAAAGTTCACATTATTTGTGAATAGTGCAAGAGGGGCAATTATTGGAAGTTGTGCTGTCATATTCTCACTTTCTAGACGGGCAACTGAACACAATCAAAGACTTTGCACTGCCTATGTCACTTCTACTTCACTTACTTTCTCCTTTCTGAACAAGAAATGATCCTTTCCCTTTAGCCTAAAGCAAGAATTTAATCATAAAATCACAGGATTTAGAGTTAGGAGGGCCACTGGAGTCTAGGTACATATAAAACTTTATAAACCCTTTCGCTAAGTTCTCTTTAAAAACAATTTGCTATTTTCATTATGTCTTTGGAAAATTGCATAATGTTCTGAGGGACCTGCAATGACAACACTGGAAGTGCAAAAAAGCTGTTTGCACGTAGAACAAGCATTACAAGAAATAAAATACTGCAAACATCTTGCAGTGGACTTTAGTGCTGACCTGGAGGGTTGCATTTACGAGAAAGGGCAGTGATATATGTATTTGATTTTTTAAAATGCATCCATCATCAGAGGCTTCAGGGTTTGTGTACGCACAAAGCACCAAAGCATGGGGGAACAAAAAACCTCCAAAAGGTATACATGAAGGTTTAATTCCCAAACCTAAAAAGCACTGGATCTACATTTTTCAGAAAAACCGAGAGGAAGAGCACTTCCTCGGTTTCTTAGGGCCATTCTCAACCATGAGACTATGTTCCAGGACACATCACTGTGGCACATATCAATTTTGAGATATGCTGCAAGTAGTATCTTTTTAATAATATTTCTAGAAAGGAAAATCTATGATTTATTTAATGAGCCAATTCGTAGTTATTCCCACTCACTTGCATTCCAATATACTCTCTTGAGTGGAAGAGAAAAGTTGGGTGAGGTTTCAACTTGTTCCCAGAGATTGTCCCGTTGTACATAAGAATGAGTTCATTTATTCATTCCTTTAATAAATGTATTTTTAACTTTCCAGAAGGTTCCAGGCACTATGTCAGATGCTGTGAATACTAAGTTGTATTTAAGTTTAAATACAGTTTGAAACAAGGTTCTTGCCCTTTAGAGAACTCATAGGTCCAGCATGGTAGCAGACAGGTAAAACAGTAAGTGCAATTCAAAGGGATGAATGCTAATACAAGCCAAAGCAGTGCCATGACGAAACGCTGGTAGGGACTTTATAATTTCCTCTCTAGGAAGTGCAAAACATTGCAGCTGTGACTTTTTTAAAAGTAGGGGGGCAGCACGACCAGAGCTGTTTCTCAGAAAACTACTTTTGATAATAATATGGACGATGTCTGGGAGAAGAGAGAAACTGGAGACAGGAATTCCAGTTAGGGGGTTATTTTAAGTCGGGGCAAGAGATGGTGAGAGCCTCAACTAAGCAGGGCCTGCAGGAATGAAAAGGCTGACACAGAATCAAGTGGCATTTAAGTGACAGGATAATCAATAGACTTGATGACTGATTGCATTCAGGAGCTGAGGGAGAGAGAAATTCATCAAAAATGACTCCCAAGTTTTCTAGCTTGGGTGATTTAATAAGGTGTTGATATTATTAATGAAAGAAGGAGAATGCAGGAGGCAGAAGAGGTTTCGTATGGAGAGAAGATGAGTTTTGTTTTGGACATTCTAGGTTTGAGACGACAATGGGTCATTTAAGTAGAGCTATTTCACATTTCAAGGAAGAAGTCTGGGTTTCCAATACAGACAGTCGTTGATATATAGGTTGTAGCTTCAAGTGTAGGACTGGCTGAGATACCCAAGAAACGTGAAAACAGAAAGAAATCTAGGCCAGAACACCAAGAAACACCAAGCCCTGGCAGGTAGGCAGAGGGGAGGCGGAAGGAAAGCTGAGAAAAGATGGCACTAGGAAGAAAAAAACAAAACGGGATATGTGCTTTGGAAAGAGTTTTAGGGAGGAAATTGCTGACAATATTACTTGCCAAAGGAAATTAGGATGAGAGTCAAAAAGAAGCCGCTGGGTTTAGCGAAGGGTTATGGAATGATCTTAGAGCAGTCGCAATACAGCGATGGTAACAGAAGCCAGGATCCGCTAAGCCAAAAGGCGTATAAGAGATCCTCTGAGGATCAGAAACGGGGATTTGAAATACTTCCACCTCCCACAGAAATACTCGTTTCTTCTGCCGTAAGCGTCATCGACAGTTCCCCATATATTAATGGCGGGGGGAGCGCAGGAGACGAGAGAACCCTGCCTTTTCACTATGATCCTCTGTGCCAACAATTAAGTTCCAGATGTTGAGATATCGTCTCACACTCACCTTCTACGTTCTATTTAATGTCGATGCCTTGCGACGCCATGGCTGCGACTCCGCAAACCACATTTCCAGCGAGCAGCTTTGTTGGCGGTTCCAGCTTCGGCACCGAGGCTCGGGGATACAAGGGGGAGAAGGAAGGGGCGGTGGGGGGGGGGGGGGGGGGGGGGGGGGGGGGGGGGGGGGGGGGGGGGGGGGGGGGGGGGGGGGGGGGGGGGAAAGGGGGGGGGGGGGGGGTGGAGAGCACTTTAGGGTATTATTGGAACAGTAGTTTGAATATGGACTGTGAATTAAATAATATTGCATCAGTGTTGAAATTCATGATTTGATAAATGTATTTTAGTATGTGTGAGGAAATCCTTGCTGTTAAAAAAATTCACATTCTGAAGTATTTTATGGATAAAGAGACATTGTATCTGCAAGTTATTTTCAAATAGTTCAGAAAAAATATATCAGGTGTGTGTGTAGAGGGGAGGAGGAGCACAGGGAGGCGGGGTGGGGGGGCGGTACTCCTTCCAGTTCGCTCTCTTGTGGCCAAAGCAAACCATCCCGATGACCGCCCTTCACCTAGGCCGAGACACTGGTTCCAGTCTCCAGCTTTTTGCTCCGCACTCCCAGATCGGGCTTACTGTGTTCCTCCAGAGACACCGGAGCAAGCTGGCCTGTGCCCTCTCTCCGAGAACCTTTCATAATTTTCTTACTCCTAGTTATGGCCTGTTTACAGAAGCCCCTTTCACATTTATTATAAAGCTGCTTTACTAGAGATGAACTCCTTTAATTTTTTTGTCTAAGAAACTCCTTACCTCCTTCAATTCTGAATGATAACCTTGCAGAGTAGAATATTCTTGGTCATAACCTTTTCCATTAAGAACTTTGAATATATCATGCCACTCCCTCTGGCCTGCAAAGTTTCTGCTGAGAAATCAGCCAATAGCCTTATGAGATTTCCCTTGTATGTAACTGTCTGCCTTTCTCTTGCTGCTTTTAATATTCTCTTTATTTTTAACCTTTGGCATTTTAGTCATGTGGCTTGGTGTGCACCTCCTTGACTTAATCTTCTTTGCGGCTCTCTGTGCTTCCTGGACCCAGATATCTGTGTCCTTCCCAGACTAGAGAGATTTTTAGCTATTATTTCTTCAAATGACTTTTCTGCCCCTTTCTCTGACTTTCTTTTTGTAGAACCTGTATGATGTAAATGTTATTATGCTTGCAGTTGTCACAGAGATCCGTTAACCCTCCTTACTATGTTTTTTTTCCTATTTGCTGTCTAGCATGGTTCCTTTCCTCTACCTGCCTTACAGATAACTGATTCATTCTCTGCATCTTCTAATCTGTTGATTCCCTCTAGTATATTTTTTCTTTCAGCTGTTGTACTCTTCAGCTCTGACTGGTTCTTTTTTTACTTCCTGTCCCTATATTCAAGTTCTCATTGCGTTCATCCACTCTTCTTTCAAGTCAAGTGAGCATCTTATAAGCATTGCTTTGAACTCTTTATCAGGTAGATTACTTATAGCTCTTTTCCCGAAATTTTGTCTTGTTCTTTCATTGCAAGCATATTTCTCTGTCTCACATTTGTTTTGTTTTTTGTGTTGATGTTCTGTGTTAGCTTCTATGAATTGGGCAAAATAGCTACCTCTCCCACTTTTCAAGCAGTGACCTTGTATAGGAACATCCCCTGTGTAGACTGTGTGTCCCTGGCAGCTTTGACTGGCTGGCTGGCTGAAACTGTAGCAGGCACAGCCTAGGGGGTCTACGGTGCTCTGTGCTGGTGCTGCCCTGGTGGGATAGCTGGAGCCAAAGCAGGCATGGGCCAGAGGGTCCTGGGGCACACTGGCAGGATAGCTAGAGCCAAGATGGGCTTAAGCTAATGGTCCAGGGGTGTTCCATACAGGGAGATCTCTGGCAAGATGGCTGGTGCCAAAATAGGCATGAACTGGAGGATCTGGGGGTGCTCTGCATAGGGGGTACCCTGGCAGGACAGCTGAAGCCAAAGCAGGCATAGGCTAGGGGGATCCCAGGGCACTCTGCATAGGAGGTACCCCGGTGGGATGGCAGAAGCTGACCAAATTGGGCATGGTTCGGTGGGGGGGGGGCTTGGGTGTTCTGTGCAGGGTGCACACTGGCACTATGACTGGAGCTGGTATGGGCTAGAAGTGTCCCAGTGTGCTCTGCACTGGTTCCATCCTGGTGGGATGGCTGGAGCTTGAAGCTTGGGTAGGTGCTGGCAGGGAAGCCAACTTGGGGTGCAGTTGGGGTGGCCTGGAGTTGCAGGCTAGTGTCCTAGAGCTCACTGAGGCAGCAATCTAGCTAGAGGGCCTGGACCCTACTCCCCATCACACTAAAGGTGGAGAGGGAATGTACATAATGGCGCTCACCAGCACCTCAGACCCTAGAGACAAGTCCAGCACTTCCCCCACCCACCATTTGGTTTCCTTTACTTATATTCCAGTTGGCCTTTAAAACACAGTTATTTTTCTCTGTGTCCCAGGGTGGGTGAATCCGTGTACAGTCTCCTCAGGGACACCCCTTCCTACTGCAAGTCGCCATGTTGGGAGTGGGGTTCGCATCACTACCGTGTCTCCGTTTCTCCTGCTGTTCCCTATGTGGTGTCTCTAATCTCTGTTGTGCGGAAGCTTTTCAGTCAACCTTCAGATCTTCTACAGGAGGGATTGCTCCAGATGTTTGCGTAGGTACAGTGTGTTCATGGAAGGGTCTTCCTATACCACCATTTTGGACTCCTTCTCTAGCCAGTGTGGTGCTCAATAGAGAGACTGAGTTCAGGTGTGACACCTTGGATTACTGACTATCACAAAGGCCAGCATCAGGTCTGTTGTAACTAGATTGGCTGGCCAGCCAGTGTTTGCAAGGCAAGGCCAAGGGATTGCCATAGAAGCCATTCAGGTTTCATGCTGTAGCATTTAAAACAGGGAGGCCAGCGGTAAAGAGACATTTTAAAGGCCACTTAAGGTTACAGACACACGCAGAGAGGAACACGGTGTGCCATGAATTATAAAAACCTTTGGTCCTTTAAAATTTTTCACAGCCTTCATGTACGAAAAGAGGGCAGAGAAGGAACACTGCTTATTCATCAGGAGGCTTTAACAACATAAACACTGAGTCTAAAACACCACCACTATTCTCTTGAAAAGGACTCTGTTAAGTCATGTACTTGGGCACACACCTGTCTGTCCTATTTCTTTGGTCTAGCAAAAAGAAGAAATGGTAGTTCCCTAAAGGATAAAAATAAGATATGTGACTCTGCTTTAAATTACGGAAGCATTTCAGTATTTTCTTTTAAGCCCTAGTCTTCCTTTCCTTAGCCTTTTAGAGAGTATAAAATCTGAGGCACTACTATTAGCTTATTAAGAAAAATCAGTACCCCTGATAGAGTTTGTGAGACACATAATGTCTGTGATGTGAGGGTCTGAGAAAAGGAAAATTAAAATAATAGAGGCATAGAAAAAATGAGTTTCATTAAGTGGCCTGAGAGATAGCTCAGAATTATAGCACTTTTTTGTCAGCAAGTGGTACGTATGTATTATCAAGATGCAAAGGAGATTCACATATCAGTCTATGTCCAGATCAGGAGGACAATATAAAAGCAAAGGCCATAACTGAGTACAAACTTTAGAAGCTTAAAAAACTAGTAACGATTTTACAGCACAGTACAGAGATTTCCTTAAGCCTTGGATACCATGGAGCCTGCTGATTTAATCAATGGAAATCAGAGTGACACATGTCCTGGTGCTAGTCAGGTGACTCTGTTATTCTTTGTAGAGTGCCAAGCTCTACGTTCTGAGACAATATATTATATTTAGTTCTCCAAGGGTACAATAACACTGTTTTGGTTTTGTTTTCTACCATTTAAGCCTGTGATGTCTCCAATCTATATACTTTTCTTCAGAATTAAATATGTGTATTCCTGTGAAAATGGAACCATAAAGTTCTTAGAAGATAACATAGACAAATGTCAGTATTGGAGATGGTTTTCAGTAAGCTGATTAGGGAAATGGGGATTAACACTGATGCTAATGCAGTTTATGTGCAGAACTCCTCATTACATATGTCCCTAGTATCCTCCAAAGTCACATGGTCTCCTGGGGACAAACCTCATTGCCAAGTGCATTGCAAAGTGCTTAGAACAGAAATCTAAATGAATATATAGAAAACTCACGCTAAAATTGAAATTTCAAATTGAGGATCATTGCATGCTTCCCATATCATGCTCCTATTTCCTTATACCATATTTGTCATATTCTTTATTCACTAGTCTATCTGCAACGGAATGTCAGCTCCCTGAGTTGGGCGGTTTTACTCTTGTGCATCTGGGTATTGGTGGGGCATGTTTCACACGTAGTCTGAAGAATGTCAATATCTGCTGGGAACCAAATTCACACAGATGGAATTATACTGGCACCAATTTAATGCAAGCTTAGTTTTATTTCAGGTTTGCCATGTATGTTCTCATTGCATATAAAACTTTCTTCCTAAAAATATTTTAACTTTGAATATTAACTCTATGAATAAACTAGAATAAGTTACATATTCTCTATTTGAGCTTCATGAATATAAGTAGCCTAATCTATACATAGAAATGTTTTCACTTTGTTGCTCCCATCTTTCCAACAAGAGTAAGCTGCACAAATTGAAAATTAATGACTTCTCTTGGATGCACCAGAGAACTAAGCTCACAGGGCAAATTGCTATCCCAAAATGTGAGGACGCAGGCATATATATCCAGAGAGACACACCCAAGATCTGTTTAACCAGACAAGAAGTTGGTGGAATCATAAATTGGTATGAACGTGTAAATAGTAACTTTGATGAACAGCTGGAAGCTAGGCATGGATTCGCATGTGAGTGGGGAAATTCTTGGAGGGCCACAGTCTTAGGAGAGCCTCTATGCTTTTGTGGGCTTTATCTCCAGGAACCTTACTAGGCTGTCCTAGTGAAATCCAAAAAAGATCCCCTCATGGCTCTGGCAAGGAAAAGAGAAGAGTAACCATCGTGAAATATGTTCTGAGCCTTCTCTATAATGATTCTACGAGGAAAAAAGACTTTTCCGGAGCCTTATCACAGTTAAGAGAAAGGAATTCCATTCCAGCCTCCTCTGCTATTCCTATCTCACAGAAAGGGGGAAAAAACATAGTCAACAAGGTTCTGGGC